GCCGGGCTCGGACGCAAAAGAGGCCGGGCTCGGACGCAAAAGAGACCGGGCTCGGACGCAAAAGAGACCGGGCTCGGACGCAAAAGAGACCGGGCTCGGACGCAAAAGAGACCGGGCTCGGACACAAAAGAGAAACTAACAGTCAGGAAGGACAGGTTTAAATTTGGAGATAACAGGCCTGCAACCAGAGGAGGCTGTTTAAGTCACAGAAGAGGCTGGGTCAGGGTACTGAGCCTCTGAGGCAGGCTCAGGGTACTGGACCTCAAAGGAGGCTCGGAGTGCAAAAGCAGGGTAGGAACATATCACATGCCTGAAGGACTAAAAATAACAACGCAGCCCTGCATGCTTATGGAACCAGAAGAGGTCCACGCATGCTTGTAGAATTACAAGTGACAGTTTAGCTGCAGCTCTGCAGCTGCATTGTGACACAGAGCTAATAGTTGTAGCGTCTGTTGAGGTGAATTCGTCAACCAGTCCCAACAGGCATGTGTTTAAGCGGAGTTGATTGGATAATGTAGTTATTGTAACTATACAGTTCACAACTTTTTCCCAAGAACTCTGGATTTTTGTGCAGTTGCAGAAGATATCTATGAAGTCATCTGGCTCATGAAGACATCTCTTGTATTGTGAGGATGAGACAGAAAAGTATTTTAGGTGTTGATGTAGTGCAAGAGTCCAACTGGATACAAATTGAGTGCAAAGTTTAGGTTAACCTAAAGGAGAATGTGCAAAGATTATAATGTCTATGGTGAGCTGTACTGTAGTTTTGAAAGCGTAAAATTTTATGGTTTGCTGTCCCAGCATTTATTTCCCAGTAGAGAGATGTGTGAACTTATAATTAATTTCTTTAGGGGGAATCATGTCTGGATTTAGCCTCTAAGAACTATTATTAAAGTGAAACTAAAGCCAAAACATGTTTTGTCATGGTGGCGAGAGTAAGGTCAGTTTTTAATCGACCTGTGTCCCATTGGGGATATTTCTCTTCCTGTCCAAAAGTCACAAAGTGAAGTGAGAGGAAATTCTTCCAAAGTTAGGAAAATTCCTTGTTATCACCAGAAATAGCTTCCCCATTGAGATTTCCCCTCTATTCCTGTCCTGGTGACAATTCTTTCACTTTCAATGATAACGGTCACCAGGACAAATGTAGATGGTGAATCTTCCTAAAGGGGACACAGACAGCAACAAAAACGAAAAAAAAAAGGTTGACTTTAGTTCTATGTTAATGGTTAGATAGACCCCTTGAAGGGTATGTGGTCTTTGTAACTGCAGTCAGTGCACCTCGAGAGCTGAATCCAAGGTCTATGCTGGAGGATGATATATGAATGTAAAGTTGCCCATACACTGCAGGATTCTCGTACGAGAATCGCGGGAAATCCCGCGATCGTACGAGAATCGTGCAGTGTGAATGAAGGGGTGTGACCGTTTCTGCTGTACGGTCGCACGTCTTTTGTCTAAGGAGCATGCTAGAAAACCAGCCGAAAATCTTACGATTTTCGGCTGGTTTCAATGATGCTAGGGAGACAAATGCCGAACGGGCCGGTTTGCGCATGCGCACACTGCCCGTTCGGCATTGCGGTCTTCAGAAGCCCAAGTGCGATCTGCCTGTCCAAGATGGTCAGTTCATACGTTTTTTAAATTACTTTACAACCATCGCAAGACTAAAGTCTTGCGATGGTTGTAAAGTGTACGGGCACCTTAAGAGAAGCACAACTACTATCTGCAAACCTGCTCCAAAGCTGTTGCATCAATTTAAGTAACCTGCCGGAGGTTCGGCTAAGCCGATCCAGATGTTGGATCAGATGAGTCAAACTCCTTCTGCACTTCGGCCGACTCGAACCCAGCCGCAGCAAGCCGTTGTACGGCTGATTTCAGTCTGTGTACGGCTGAAATCAGCTGTACAAGCATGAAGTGAATAGCCGAACAGCGAATAGTCGGCAGCTTTGTGAATAACCCCCTATGTGTCCCCAGTTATTTACAAACACTGGAGTGATCACTCCAGTGTTTGTGCTGCAGAGAGGATCGGTAAATATCAATGATATTTATAGATCCTCCGTTCGGCCACGCACAGAGCCGCTGTGATCCGGAAACTGACAGGATGACAGCGGCTCCGTTCTCCTCACCGCTCAGCCATCCTGAAACTTGTGGCTTCTCCCCGCCAGCCGACGCTTGCTCCTGCGTCCGTCCCCCCTACCGCTGGAGATTTTTTTTTATCCCCGTTGCCACAGCCCCTACAAGCGGGGGACAGCAGCGGGGATCCATGGAGTCACAGATCCCTGCCTGTAGCGGCTCCAGGCAGGGATGAGAGGCTCCAGATACCGGCAATTTTTCCCACTGATTTGATTTATAAACAAATCATGCACTGCAATGCATTCTAACAACGCACTGCAGCGCATGTGCATAGCGTACACCTCAATATGTGTACATTATGTGGGGGGAGGGAGGAGTTGTGCTTTTTTTTAATTTTTTTTTTTTTACACTTTTTTTTTTACATTTTCTGTTTATTTTTTAATATTTTTTTTGTTTACTGTTTGGGGGGGTTTTCTGCAGCCCCAGCACTTAATGAATGGGAAGCACTCAGTACAGAGGCTTCCCATTCATTCAGAAACTAATGATAGTAAAAATATCTTACTATCATTAGTTTATGAATAGGGAGGAGTCTCTGTAGTGAGTGCTACTCCCCATTCATAAATTCTTGAATGAACAGGCTGTGATGTAAATCACAGCCTGTTCATTCATAACTGGGGACACATAGTACTATGTGTCCCCAGTTATTTATAAACACCGGAGTGATCAGACGATCACTCCGGTGTTTGCTCTGCACAGAGGGATCGTTAAATATCAATGATATTTAACGATCCCCTGCTTGGCCACGCTACAGAGCCGATGTCATCCGGAAACTCACAGGATCAGAACACCGGTCGGCCATCCTGGATTGCGGCCAGCCGCTGCTCGCCCCTCCACTCCCCCGCCGGCCAATTTTCATCGGATCCCCACCGTCACAGACCCTACAAGTGAGGGACAGCAGCTCCATGGAGTCTCTCATCCCTGCATGGAGCAGCTTCAGGCAGCGGTGCCGGCGGGGGGGCGTATTTTCGTTAATAGCGGTCATCAGCGGCTTGTGTGCCGCTGATGACCGCTATTAATTTGAAGGGGACAGTCCGGGGAACAGTTCTAGTATAAGCTCATGGTCGCTAAAGCGACCATGACCTTATAGCAGAACTGTAAATGCCAGGTCCGTATGTCATACGTCCTTGGCCAGCCGGGAACACTTTTGTTCCTCAGTACGACATACGTCATTGGCAGGGAAAGGGTTAAGGGACAGGTCCAAGGACATTGTGTAAGAATTAATGGAGCTCCTGTTTGGTTCATCTGGGTTTACACCTTGTGCCCTCAATGCAGTACGCAAATGGTGGAATAGCATGCCCAGGAAGTATGGGCCAACCCCAGTGACAGTATATAGCACACACACAGTCACAGACAACAAGCTTGCATAAAGCAAACAGACAGCCTGTAGATGCAATCACAAAACACAGCAGAACCACAAACACACACTCACTCACAGCACACAGACAAAACAGGCATGACGTCGGAGACCACTCACAACAAACCATATCCGCACACACACTTCTATTTACAGCAGACCAGCAGACAGACTGCATACTCTGTAAGAGCATATAGGGAGAGCTCAAATTCAGTCACTGCACACAGTCAGTGACCACACTAATGGGTTCTCCCTTTGGTGGACCAGTTCTCTGAGGCGCTTTTCTGAATTATACTCCCTGCCATTATGCTTTCCGCACTCCTTTTCTGCACAGTCTGTCTGCCATTATAACCTCTCCTTCAGCATACTGCTTACTGCATTACCCTCTGGCACTCTACTCCTCTATATACTGCACACCGTCACACACCATACATGTCTCTCCTGAACATACTTGATGCCGTCATACCCTCTGCAATCCTCTGTAGCATGTACTATCAGGGTGATACCTTCTTCAATCCTCTCCTGCACACACTGCCCACACTCATTTCCTCAGACGCTTCTCTCCTGCACCTGATACTTACTGCCATACCTTCCACACTCTTCTGCACATACTGCCTGCCATTTTACCATGAGCATTTCTCTCCTGCACATACAACCCACATTCCTCTTCTGCACATACTGCCCCCTCTCATACTCTTCTGCACACACATCCCCCATCATACCCTTTTCATTTTCTTCTATAAAATTACCTTTTTCCATGTTATTCCTGTGTGATTAAGTGAAAGCACTCTCAGATTTCCAAAGGCATTTGTTAATGAAGATGGCTGAGATGGAAAATAAAATCTGTTTTCACTGTAAAGGTAAAGAGGGAAAAATAATGAACAGGTATAAAAAGTACAGATGTCCAGTAAATATCAGCAGGAATAAGGTTATTGTTATACATTGCTTAAAACCAAAACTTACAGTAAGTTATAAGAAAGTAGCACCTATCGTTTTTTCCCTACATCAGACTAGATAAGCAATGGTTGCTCGGGTGCTGCAACTTTATGCAATAAAATTATATTTTTTTATGTGATAAATCTTGGATTAAGCCATAGTCAGCACTGTGTGACCCTAATAATGCAAACCATGTAAACAATCCTCTAACTCAAAAACCATATTTATTATATTTCCAGATTTTAGATAGCACCAACATATTAAACCATGCTTTACAGCATACAAGATCTATTTATAATAGCTACATACTAGGAATGCACCGATACTAATATCAGTGCCAATACCGAGTATTTGGGTGAGAACTCGTACTAGCCCAAAGGCTCCGATACCTATCCCAATACCGGAACTTCCGGTCAGAGCATGGAGCTGGCTTCCCGGCCAATCAGAAAGCTGGGCGGCCGGTCATGACGTGCCACCGGCTTCCTGATTGGTCAGGAAGCCAGGCGGCGAGCAACAAGTGAAGCCAGCTTCCTAGCCAATCAGAAAGCAGGGAGGCGGGTCATTATGTCCTGCACGTCTTCCTGATTGGTCACTGCATCCCTTCTACATACTGTATGTCAGAACTATTACCACCTCCCATGAAGATCTGCACCTAAAGCTTTGTATTCTTCCAGCTACTCCATGGTCATGCTGCTTACAAAACATCTTTAGAAATGGAGATATGTCTGTGTTCCTTGAACTTGAGAAAGTTCAGAGAAAGGCTACAAAATTATTAAAGGGGATGGAGGGCCTCATTTATGAGGATCACCTCCAGAAATTCAATGTGTTGTCCTCAAAGAAGAGGCGCTTAAGCGGGGATTTGATTACAATTTTCAAATTCATAAATGGGGATGGCAGTATTGGGAATAAACTGTTTACATTAAGAACGCTAAAGATGACACAAGGCCACAACATGAGGTTTACTCTAAGAATACGTAAAGTTTTTTTTTTTTACTTTAAGAGCAGTAAAAATTTGGATTTCCCTACCCCAGATAATGGTATACGCCAATAGCTTTGATAAATTTAAGAAACACTTGGATGAGGTTTTAGGTATACAGAACATAATCTGAATATGTATGTAATCTGAATAAAAAGAATATCAGCAGCTCTTATGTGTGGACGAGTACCAAACCACGAATCTGATCAATCAACCCCCTTAGCAGTTGCTTGGTGTTCTTTTATAAACCAAGTCACCAAAGAAAAAAATTCCCCAGGATTTCATCTGCCATCGAGAGTAATTCTCTGCGCAACTTCACTAAGTTTACTAGGTTCCATGGCCACAGCCCCTTTTGACGATGTGCCACAACTCTGGCAAGAAGAAAAAAAAACATGACCGAGATTGAAATCTCACGGCCATATTATTTTTCTTTTTTTTTCATGAACGAGATGTCATTTCAGTGACGAGGCAATCCCAGTGTGCATCGCTTTGGCACACCAACGTCATTTTTGCCCTTTCAAAACAGGAAGTGAATGCTCTGCAAGTGTAAGTACATAAAAAATTACAGCATTTTGCACCTGACATAATTAGGTTATTATTAATCATCATAAATAGATACATTGGTAGGTTTAGTTTTTTCCAGTGTAAAGGTCCCCTTTAACGAGGAATCTGCCTTCTTTGTCAGCCATTTGCTCAGAGAGAGAGAAAAGAGAGAGAAAGGTAGAGTGGGAAAAAAGAAAAGAGGAAAAAGGAAAGAAAGAACATAATAGGATGTTTGTGCTCGCCGTAAAATCATTTTCTCTCTCCGTTCATTGAAGGACACAGGAATCAGATCGAAGATCATATAAAGTAGGGTAATATCGCCACCTGCAGGAAAAGGACGCTAGGCACAAAACAAAGACAAAGACAGCCTAGGGGTGGCCTCTGCTGGTGGCCTCTGCTGGTGGCCAAACCCACCACCTGCTGACAAGTCTCCAGTAAGTAACAAGCAGTTAGGAGTATACACTCCAATAAGGAGGGCGGGACCTGTGTCTTTTAATGAACGGAGAGAAAAGGATTTTACGGTGAGTACAGAAATCCTGTTTTCTCTTCCGTTCATTGAAGGACACAGGAATCAGATCGAAGATCATGTACCATAGGGACGTCACAAAGAAGAAACAGGCCGAGGGTTGGACACAAAAAAACAATTTCTCCAACAGAGACACCACTAAAGGGCCGCCTGCAAAACCTTCCGCTCCCAGCCAGCATCCACAGACGCCAAAACATCCACCTTATAAAACTTGGCAAATATGTAAACAGAAGACCAAGTGGCGGCCTTACAAACCTAAGAAACAGAGGCACCATGACGAAAAGCCCAAGATGCCCCAACAGCTCTAGTAGAATGGGCAGCAACAGAAAAGGGAGGCTTACACCTGAACAAATCGTGTTACGAATGCTTCGAGAGATGGTAGCTGAAGACGCGGCCTGGCCCTCCTGTGGGCCCTTCATAAATCGCAAACAAGGAATCCGACTCACGGAAAGAAGCAGTAGCATCCAAATAAACACGGAGAGCGCAAACCAAATCCAAATACTGTAGTGCTCTCTCCTTCCTATGAACGGGCTTCGGACATAGAGAAGGCAAGACTATGTCCTCATTCAGATGAAACGCTGAAACAACCTTAGGCAGGAAGGACAGCCAAGGACACAGGACAACCTTGTCTCTATGAAGGACCAACAACGGCGACTTGCATGACAAGGCCGCAAACTCCGAAACCCTGCAAACGGAGGTGATCGCCACCAAAAAGGCCACCTTTTCGGGCAAACTCAAAAGCGGGATCTCCCTCAATGGCTCAAAGGGAGACTCCTGCAAACCAAAGAGCACCAAATTCAGATCCCAAGGTGGCTAAGGGAGACCGAACAGGGGGAACAATACGTATAACCCCCTAAACAAAAAGGTCAGAAACTTAGCCCTTCACCGTGCTCAAGGCCAAACCGTGATCTACTCCACATTGCAGAAACGCAAGAATTCTGCTCACAGAGAAAAATGCGGAAACAGATCCCCAGCCTCACACCAGGCAAAGTATGCCTTCAACGTGCGATGGTATATCTTTTGAGACACAAGGCCTTGCGAGCCCTGAGCATCGTGGAAATAACTGCATCTGACAAACCACGGTCCTTCAACACCTGGCTCTCAACAGCCGCGCCTAGCAAGCTTCACTAGGGGCTCTGGGACAAAAGAATTGGACGAAGTTGCAGCCGCCAGGGAACATCCACGACCAATCAAACCACATCCGCGTACCACGCTCTATTCGGCTAATCTGGAGTCACAAGGATGACGGGGATGCCTTCGACCGCTATACTGTGTAGAAGACATGGCAAAAGATACAGCGGAGGGAAGGCATAAATTAGACTAACGGTCCCACGAGACCACCAGGGCATCCACCACTTCCACCCAAGGATCCTGGGCCCGGGCTATGAACCGATCGACCTTCCGGTTGAGACGAGATGCCAGGAGATCCCCAGAAGGCGTCCACCGGTGAAGGCAGATCTGATGAAAGATCTAGGTGCAATGACCACTCCCCCGGATCCACCGACTGGTGACTGAGATAGTCGGCCTGCTAATTATCCACTCCTGGAATGTACACCGCGGAAAGAGCTGTAACATGCTCCTCCGCCCAGGAGAGAATCCCAGCCACCTCCCGCGCAACGGCCACGCATCTTGTGCCGCCTTGATGGTTGATGTAAGCCAGGGCCGTGGCGTCATCTGAGTAAACCTGAACCGACGGGCCCTGAAGACAGCCCGTCCAATGATGGAGAGACACCTGAATTGCCCAAAGCTCCAACACGTTGATTGATAGACGAGACTCAAACGACCAAAAACCCTGCGCAGGAGCCCAGGAGCCTTCCCCAGCGCAGAAGGCAAAGCGACCAAATGAGGAAAACTCTCGTCGCCCAAGACACCAGACTACCGTGAGGCCCAGCACCTGCATGCAGAAGGGGATAGTCGACCACCGACGAGACCGTAACAACCTCACGTGTGAGCGGAGTTTCAGAAGTTTTTCCGGAGGGAAGAAAACCCAACAGTGTCCAAAATTTGACCACATTACTCCAGATCCGGGGACGGCACCAGACAGGACTTCCTGAAGTTCAGAATCCAATTGAACTCCTCCAAGGACCGCACGGTGACCGCAAGATCCGCCACCAGGGAGGAATGCAACTCCACCTTCAAGAGAAGGTCGTCCAGATACCCCACAATCGAGATTACCCGACAGTGTAACAATGCCATAACTGGGGCCAACACCTTGGTGAACACTCAAGGGGGCCAACACCAGACCGAAAGGAAGAGCCACAAACTGGAAGTGCTCCTTCCCCACCGCAAACTGAAGATAATGCTGATGGGAGTGACAAATGGAGACATGAAAGGTAGGCATCCTTGATGTCGATGGAAGCCAGCAGATCCCCCTGATGGAAACACGCCCACTGTGGATCTGATAGATTCCATCCAAAACCTGCGGACCCGCACAAAGGTGTACAATCTTTTGAGATCCAGGATGGGCCAAACCCCCTCTTTCTTGGGCATGGTAAACAGATTTGAATAAAATCCTTTGAACCTCTCCGAGGAGGACAACGGAACGATCACCCCTTGAGACAAGAGGTCCGCCACCGTGCGGTGAAGATAAACGATTTGTTGCGGACAGAGGCGCATGTTGGAAGGAAAAAACCTGTCCCCAGGAAGAGACAGAAACTATCTTGCAGTCCGAAGAAACCAGCTCCCGCACCCAGGCGTCAGAGACGCGAGACAACCAAAGATCCGCAAAGAACCAAAGATGATCCCCACTACCCTGGAACCCAGAGATTGGGTCATTCCTTCATGCGAAAGCGGGTTTGGAAGACTTAGGTTGCCAGGGACGATAGGTAGCCTGGGAAGAGGAAGGCTTGGAGAAGGAAGGACCGGGCTTCC